TAAGACTATTAATATTCTAAATAGCGAATAATTATTAATAATTTCTTATTATAGATCTAATAATTATATTTAATTAAGATTAGATTTTTATTATAAAAGACTATTAAATAAAATACTTTCTTATTATTATATTAAAAAAGAATATCTTTATTAATATAGTCGAAAGAGTTAATCTCTAAAATAATCTTTTTTATTTTATTAAAATAATATAGAATTAAAGCTTTAATAATAGCGACTTTTAAGAAAGTAAAAGATCTCTTAATATACTAGAGATTAATTAAATATAATCTTTCTTTATTATAAATTTTATTATAAATTTAACTATTTTAGAGAAGTCTCTAATAAATCGTTAATAAAAATTATAAAATTCGATAAAGATTTATATCTCTTTAAGATTAATAGATATAATTTACTTAATAATAATCTAAATTTTAATAAAGTTTATTTATAATCTATCTATAGATATTAATAAATCTAAAAATTTAATTTTCTAAATATAGAATTCGTATTTAAGAATATTTATCTAAAGATCGATATTTTTTAATTTCTAAAGAATTTATCTAATATATTAAATATATTTCTTTTTTATCTTATTATAAATAAGTATATTATCGAGATAGATCTAATAGAAGTTATTTAGATATTTAAATAGAATATTATTTATATATTATTAATATATAATTAAGTCGTTAATTAGATTAAAGAAGAAGAATTTAATATTTATATACTTTAAGAAAGATAATAAAAGTAATAAAATTCTCGCTATTAAAATATATATATAGTTTATTAAACGCGACTATAATATCTAATCGAGTAAGATATTTATATTTCTAAATTCTTATTAAAATCTTATCTATTAATAAAATTAAATATTAATTTCTTTTAATAATAGCGTTTAGCTTTCGATAGTTTATATAAAAATATAATTCTTTATTTGAGCTTTTTCGCGAATAGAATAAGATAAGATAAATAATATATAACTTAATATTATAAATCTCTTCTTTAGATATTTATTTAGATACTTCTTTATCTATTTTAATTTATATTCTAATATTAAATAGATTCTACTTTTTAAAAATTTTATTTTATTAAAGCTATTATTAAATTTTAATTTATAATTATAAGAATAATATAAAGAAAAGTATATTTATTTTAGTTTTATTAAAAATATTAAGATAGTTATAATACTTCGAAGATAACTTATATTTTATCTTTTTAGAATTAATCTTATTAATATTATTAATCTAAATAAGATAATTAAAATTATAATATCTTTTATATTTCTTTTCTAAGTTATAGAAATAGAGTTTATTAATTAATATATAAGTTTCGCGAGATATTTAAATAATAAGAGATATATATAATATATAGGAAGATTATTATAGATCTTATTTATTATTAATATAAATAGTTTATTATCTTTTTTATACGAGCTAGTTAATAGTAAGTCGCTATATTAATCTTAGCGATATTAATAAACTTAGACTTCTTATTATTCTTATTCTTATTTAATAAAAAAATATTTAAATTAATCTTATTATTATAAGTAAATAAAGAAAGAGCTTTATTATTTTAATATAATAGATAAAGAGATAAGTAATATAAATAGTCGAAGCTTCGAAGTTAATAGAAAAGAGAGAGTTCGTTTATTATTAATATTTAATTATTATTATAATTATATCGATCGAAATAAAAAAAGTATCTTATTTTATAATATATTAAGAACTATCTTATATTTATTTATTTAAGATTTTTTAATTATTATATTATATTTTAATAATATAATTAATATTAAATATATTTCTTCTTAATAATTTTTATTATTATTATTAGAAAGTAAATAATATATAATTAATTATTTTATAATCTAGTTATTATAATCTTTTAATAATTTAAATTATAATAGTAAAAGTAATTTTAAATATAAGACTTTATATATTATTAAGAATTAAGAACTTATTTATAACTATATAAGTATTAATATATTTATTATTTATAAGAGAGTTCTTAAATAAATAAATTCTCTTTTATAAAAAGAAAGTGTAATTTATATATAAAAAGAATAACGTATTAGAGACGTTATTAAGAGTATCTATTAAATATACTTTATAAGTATCTCTTATTATAACTTTAAAAGAGACTATTTATTTCTCGAAATTTAAAAAAGAATTATCGCTACTCGTAATATCGACGTTATTAATTTTAAATTCTTTATTTATTTCTATCGCGTAAAGTTATACTTTCTTAAAGATCTTTTTATTAATCTTAATTTAAATAGTTATTATATAATTCTTTTAATAGTAATCTTTTTTATTATAATTATAATATATTAATTTTCTTAATTTTAAATTAATTATAATATTTAAAGACGTAATAATTATATTTAAATTAAATTTAATAATAAATATAAGATATATATTAATCGCGAATATTATTATTAATATTTATATTATAATTAACTTAATAATAATCTTTATAAATTTAAAATTCTTATAATTAATATATTATAAGTTATTTAATTTTTAAAGATATTCTTTTATAATCTTTAAGATAGTAAAATCTTTTATAATCTATTATAACTTCTTTAATTTCTTTCTTAATTTCTTAAAAAGATAATTCTTTAATATTTAAGATTTTCTTAATATTAAGAATAATATCTAATTAAATAAAATCTAAATAGAAATTAATAAAGAATTAAGTTTTTTATTATAAAGTATATATATTATATAATATATTATTATATTAATTTAAATTCTTATAAATATTAATTAACTTATTTATAATTTTAATAAAAAATTAATATAAATTAATAAAGTTTCAAAGTTTTTTATATATTATATATTATATAATCTTATTATCGAGTTATAAGATTATATAAATTATTTTAAAGTTTTTAATAAGATAATAATCGCTATTAATCTTAAATTTCTATTTTATTTTAAAGAATTAGTTATTTTAAATAAAGTTAATATTATTAATAAATAGAGATAAATTTAAAATCTTAATTAATTTTTCTTTTAATTATCTAGATATATGTTTCTTCTTAATTAAGAATAATTATAAATCTTTTATAGATTATAAATTAAGATTATTAACTTTTCGCTATAAAGAAGTTATATTTTTTTAAAAATCTTAAACTAATTAATTTATCTTCTTAATTATTTTATAAATCTAAAATAAATTATTTATAATTAGATTCTTTTTTATTATAACGATATAATATTAAATAATAATCTTTTAAAAATTATCTTGCTTCTAATAAATCTTATTTAATATAATTATAAATTTATTAAATTAATATTTAATTTAATATTATAATTATAAAATATTAATAATATTTTAAAATATTTTTATTAAGTTAAACTTGTTAACTATATTATCTAATAGAATTAATATTTATTAAAATTTAATTTACTTAAATAAAGTCTTAATTTAATTTATTCTTTTAATATTAGACTTTATTATAAAAAAGGGGAAAGAAGATTTAAAATAAAGTAAAGAGAAGTTTAAATACTTTAAAAGAATAGATATTAAGAATATTAGATATATTAGAGAATAATAAAATTTCTTAAAAACGTATTAAAATTATTCGATATTAAGAATAAAAATTTTTTACTATAAAGTCTAAAATAAGATTATTTCTTTATAAGAATTTAATATACTTATTTCTTAATTATTTAAGACGTATTAAAAAGATTATAAATACTTTAAATAGTAGTTTTTTAAGTATATTTACTTCGCTTAGAGAGTTTCTTATCTTATAGAGAAGTTATATATAAAAAGTTTTAAAAAATAATATTTTAAATTAATTATAACTCGATTATTTCTTATCTAATTAAAACTTTATTAAAACTCTTAGATATTATAATATATAAAGTTATAAGTAATACTATTAATATATATTTTAAATATAAAAATATAAAATAATATTAGCTATTTCTTTTGATTCGCTAGTTATATAAATAATTTAATATCTTCTTTATTTCTTAACTACTATTTATTAAGATCGTTTCGCTATCTTTATTTAAACTCTTTAAAATTAATTTATCTATTTAATAGATTTATTTAGAAATATAAATAGTAACTAATTATAATTTCTTATTAAAGCCTCTATTAGCGCGTTTCTTTAAATTTATTTACATTAATATAAATAAAATAAGTAAATTAATCTTAATTATAGTATTAGAATTAATATAGAATATAATATTAATATAGATATATTAAATAAGATAATTAAGATATATCTAAGGTACGTGTATAACGTAATAGAATGTCTTCTAATATCTCGCTCGTCTTAATATCGAACTTATCGTCGCTAGTTAGCATGCCTATAGGCTTCGGTGTAGATAGATAAGCAAAATTTCTACACAGAGAATTGCTAAGACCATGGATTTGATTAATCAGAAAGCTTACATAAGGATTACTAAGTGTTTTACATGATTTACACGCTGTTACACAGTTTTTGCCTTACAATACTATAATTACTGTAAGGCACATGGCCTTACATGTAAAATTACATCCCTACTGTCCGGAGTCAAGTTGCAGATCAGTGACTCACCGCTTCAGCAGAATCAGCACGCAACCATCATGTCAGCCCAGCCTCACAATTTTTGATGACCTTTCGCTGTCAACATAATCCCTAAAAGGATGGTGTAACCTCACATTCGATGTCTCACCACAACTCGGGATCCGTGTAAGCCCTAAGGCTGCTTAGCTGGAAATCCATCCCGAAATACGAAATCGCTCGTACTCTTGCCTCGAGTGAGAGCTGAAAGGCGGGATAAGTGACCTGCGTTCGGATTGAAGTTAAAACACACGATTTCCGTTCCGAATTCTTGATCCGCCTTTCGTTGTAGAGAAATCGATCCCGAAGAGCAAACACTCTGCCATTAGTGATCTGTCAAAAACACCTTCAAAGACCTCAACGATTCTTAGATCGACCGGGTTTGGAACTCACTTCCATTTCAAAAGAAGCGCCATGATGTACAAGCAACTCCTCAATGCCGCGCTTGCTTTCGCCGCCATCTCGAAAGCTAGTCCCATTGCACCACGACAAAACACCTCCTCATCGATGCTCTCTTCCGCTGTACCGCCTTCCAACCCAGAAATTTCCCAGGACCTCATCAACCAACTTGAACTCGCCGCCGACAGTGTGGATCGTTTCACCATCCTCCAAGCGCAAGGCCCAGCCGACACCTGGCTCAAGTATGATTTCAATCCGAGTGCCAACCCAAATCCCGGAGGAGGCAAAGGGAGCCGGTGGCCAAGGAGATCTCGCAAACCGGAAAACATTCCCCGCCCTTATAAATCTCGGTGTCGCAGCCTCAGCTGGATTCATGAACCCTTGCGGCATGAATAAACCTCATATCCACCCGCGCGCAACCGAATTCTTAATCCTTGCCACCGGCGCTAATGTGAGGACCGGATTTCTTCTTGAGAATGGCTTGCAGACTCAGATGAGCACAACATTATCGCAATACCAGGGTGCTATACTGCCTCAGGGAAGCATCCATTATGAGTTCAATGACAACTGCGAGCCAGCAGTATTTATCGCCGCCTTCAGTAATGAGGATCCTGGCCTGAGCACTGTTGGGAAGAACTTTTTTTCGCTGGACCCGGATATTGTCGATGCCGATTTGGGGTTCCCGGATTTCCTTGATCACACGAACATCAGGCAGTTTGCGAAGAGCATTCCCAAGTCTTTTAGTAACGGTGCCATGGAATGCCTGGACCGTTGTCATATCAAGTATTGATTTAGTCTGACAACGAATTCACTTCATTGTAGGAGATGGTATGACGATGGAGGACTGCAATTGGTGCTGGATAGGACCCCAGTCATGCCCTTTCCTCACGTAAAATGGTTAGCACTACCTTGACCTACGCTGAAGATGATGGACGAAACATCGAGCTCAGCATGCTGACCACATTCGAATGCGGTAATGAAGGGTGCCGCGGAGAAGCAGGCTAGGCCCTTTGGTTTTTTGACTCTACCTAGTTTCGTAATACCGATTTCTCCTCGGCAAACAAAGTCTTAATGATTGTGCATCAAAAGTTTCTCGACGCGAATGTACCATAGCCCTTTTTCCAGTCTCCTAAATAGTCCTTACATACTTGCCCTCGACTTCTCCCGCCTTTACTTGAGAGGAAGTTCCAGGCTCTCGACTGAAGTCCTCGCCACAAAATGACCGGTGGCCCAACAGTCCAAGCAGTCCGTTCTATCTTGGAGGGTTCATACACGAATTCCTGTGGCTGCACCACCTATAGCAGTTGACTTGGCAATTGATGTGGTAACCCAAGCCATGTGGTAACCCAAGCCATGTACGTCTTCTAATAGCAATTTCCCTGGTAGATGACAGATATCTCCATGGCAGCGATAGACATGTCCCCTTTTCTCCCGTCAACTTAAGATCATCTAGACAGCAGGGTAAGACAGCTGGAAAAAGGAGAACGTAAGAGGGTCAGCAGAGATGCGGCAACATGGGTGCGAAAAGATGCGTTATTCTGAGTGGCGGGAACAAGGACAGGGAAATGCTGGGAGAGCTGGGAGAGTCGCGCGTGCATTTCTATGTTTAGTATCGGCCTTTATTGCGAAGAGGGCTGACAGCCAATAGGAAAGTCCACGTCACGTACTATTGATTGTCTCTAGGACTCCCGGCCCTAAAAATGCGCAGGCGAGATAGGACTGGAAAATAATCAGGGTCAGCGCAGCTTGTGCGGAAAACGCGCCACAGTGGGACTGTGTTAGCTTTGCTCATGGCTAAGGGTCCCTTCGGTAACCACATATTTTCAAAATATGACATTTGACTTTTCGTTAGTCAATTATCATTCAATACGTACATGAAAATATTATGTAAGCTTAGCGCCAAGACTAAAATTTGATAATTGAGATTTCAGCCCTAAGGGTTAAATATTTAAAAATATCTAAATTATAGATTAATCTATAATTTAAATTTAGAAAAGACGATATCTAAATAGATAATTTATAAAAATTAGAAATCTTAACGTAATAACGATTTAAATTTTACGCTTTTCGTCTAAGTAAATAAAAAGACTTATTTCTATTAATTATACTCTTTCGAATAGTATTAATTAATAATAATACTACTATATTTTATATAATTTAACGATTCTTAAAGAGATTCTCGAGAAAAGTATTACGAGCGATTATAAAATATACTAGTACTCTTAATATAATATATTATCTCTATTTAAAAATTAAATTAAAAATATATAAGTATATTTTAAAAATATATAATTATCGAAGAGACTTTAAGAGACTTAATATAGAAGCTTAAGAGAGCGATATTCTATAGTCTTACTATTAAAAATTATTAAAATAACGCGTTTATTAAACTTTAGATAAAAGTTAAATAGTCTAAAAAATTAATAAAAATATCTCGCGATAAGATATTAAATAATTTAAATTACGTAAGAAAGAATTTAATATTAAAATTTCTTTACGAATATTCTTTTAAGTAATAACTATTATCTAATTATATATTACGAGTAAAGATTTATAAATAAAATTTATAATTATTTTTTCTAATTAAAGCTATCGAGTAAATTTAATAAGCGAACTTTTAATAGAGAATATTTAAATTCGTTATCTTTAAATATCTATAAGACTAAATTTAGTAATTATTATTTTATTTAAAAGCTTATATTTCGTTCTATAATTTAAAATTTTAATAGAAAATAAAAAAGTTATTTTAAAATTAAATAATATCTATCTAATTAAAGTTATTCGACTATCGAGCGAACTTTAATAAGCGATATTTAAATTTCTTACGCTTTAATAACTATAAGACTAAATTTAGAAATTTCTTTCTTATTTAAAAACCTAGATTTCGTTTTATAATTTAAAAAAAAATCTTAAAAATTTAATAGAAAATAAAAAAGTTATTCTATATATTAATAATATATACTTATTATTTTTTAATAGTTACGAATATTAATTTATTAGTATATACGAGTAAAGATTTATAAATTAAATTTATAATTTTTTTTTAAATTAGAGCTATCGAGTAAATTTAATAAGCGAACTTTAATAAGCGAACTTTAATAAGTAATATTTAAATTTCTTACGCTATAATAACTATAAGACTAAATTTAAATATTCTTTTTTAATCTAAAAGCTTATATTTTATTCTATAATTTAGAAAAAAAATCTTTAAAATTTAATAGAAAATAAAAAATAAAAGTTATTCTATATATTAATAACGATATATCTATTTTTAATAAGAGAGATATAAGAGAAGAAGATTTTAATAATTACGAATATTAATTTATTTACTCGCGATAACTTAGTTAATTTAATTAAAAAGCGTAGATCTAATAAATTAATAATTAATTATATATATAAATTTAAGATTTTTAAACTTAACTTTATCTTATTCTATTATATATATTAATAATAAAATAAGATAAAGTTAAACTTAAAAATCTTAAATTTATATATATAATTAATTATAAATTTAAGTTTACTTCTCTTTTAATTAGATCGATTAAATTATTATAAATAAATAAATTAATATTTATAACTATTAAAATCTCGCTCTCTCCGCGTCTTCTTTATTAAAAAAATAGATATATATTATTAATATATAGAATAACTTTTTTATTTTCTATTAAAATTTTTTTTTTTTTTAAATTATAGAACGAAATATAAGCTTTTAGATAAAAAAAAGAAATTTTAAATTTAGTTATATAATTATTAAAGCGTAAGAAATTTAAATATCGTTTATTAAATTCGCTCGATAGTCGAATAGCCCGCTTATTAAAGTTCGCTTATTAAAGATTACTTATATATTTACTCGATAGCTCTAATTAAAAAAAAATTATAAATTTAATTTATAGATCTTTACTCGTTTATTTATAAATTATAATAACTTAGTCGATTTAATTAAAAAGCGTAGATCTATAATCTATTAAATTTATAATTAGCTATATATATAAATTTAAGATTTTTAAACTTAACTCTATCTTATTCTTTTATATATATTAATTAAAAATTAATAATTCTCTTATTTATAACTAGAGCTATTTATCTAATATTATTACTTTTAATAACTCTTATAATATTTTTAACTTATTCTTTATTAAAGAGATTTTATAAGTTTTTATATAATACGAGTAAAGATCTATAAATTAAATTTATAATTTTTTTTTAATTAAAGCTATCGAGTAAGTAGATAAGCGCTTATAATTTAATAATTATAAAATTAAATTTAATAATTCTTTTTTTTTTCTAAAAGCCTATATTTTATTCTATAGTTTAAAAAAAATCTTAAAATTTTAATAGAAAATAAAAAAAGTTATTTTAAAATTAAATAATATATATCTAATTAAGACTATTTAACTATTAAGCGAATCTTTAATAAGCGATATTTAAATTTCTTACGCTTTAATAATTATAAGACTTAGTTACTTAATTTTAAAATTTCTAAAAATTCGAAAAGTATAAACGACGCTATAAAATTTAAAAAAAAAATCTTAAAATTTTAATAGAAAATAAAAAAGTTATTCTATATATTAATAATATACGTTTATTTTTTTAATAAGAGAGACGCGAAAGAGCGAGATTTTAATAATTATAAACGCTAATTTATTTATTTATAATAACTTAGTCGATCTAGTTAAAAGACGTAATAATCTCGAATTTATAATTAATTATATATATAAATTTAAGATTTTCTAATTTAACTCTATCTTATTCTTTTATATATATTAATATAAATAAGTATACTTTCTTATATCTAATAGTCGAAAAGATATAATATATTTTATAAAATATTTTATATTAAGTAATATTATATTATACTCGAATATAATATAAATAAAGTCGATAAATTTTTTATTTTCTATTAAATTTTTAGAATTTTTTTTAATTATAGAATAAAATATAAGCTTTTATATAAGAAAAGAATTTTTAAATTTAATCTTATAATTATTAAAGCGTAAGAAATTTAAATATTATTTATTAAAAACTTATTTACGAAGAGTAATATTAAAAGTTTTATATATACGTTAAATCTCTTAATATACTTAATATTTTAATAAATCTAATCTTTTTCTTAAATAGCTTTATTTTTCTAGTAATAATACTTTATATAGCTATATATATACTTATTTACTCGCTTCGTAAAGTTATAAAATTATATATTATCTTTCTTATAATCTTTTCTATACTTATTATCGCTTTTAAGATAAATAATCTTTATAATATATCTCGATATTCGCTCTATTTACTTCTAAATTCTCTTCTATATAAGCTTATAATTTTAGTAATATAGTTATTGTTTCTCGATATCTTTATGAGTTTTTAATATATCTTTTTAAATAGTTTAACGCTTTATTTATAACTAATAAGACTCGATTATATTAAGATTTAAAGAGTTATCGTATTAAAGTATTCGAATAATATTTATTAATATATAAACTACTTTCTAATACTTTAATATATAGATCGAGGTCTTATCTTCTATAACTATTATATTAAGTCGCTCTTATTTATACTTCTAAGCGAATTTTAAAAGCTTTAAAATAAGAATCTATATCTAGTAAGAAGAAGAAGTATAAGATATATAAGCGTATATATCTTTTTCTAATAGCGATATCAATTAATTTTCTTCTTCTTCTTCTTAATAATAACTTTTCTAGTCTTAATAGTAAACTTTTACTCGAATTTCTTATTAGAAAGATTTCGTAGATTTATTTATTATATATCGATTTTAAATAATAGTAGTAATAATTTTAACTATAATATTAGCTTCGATTAAAGTAAGTATTTAAAGTCTAATATCGTTATTATAATTAATAGCTTAAGCTTTATTTATAAATATTTTAATATAGAGAATATAGAGAGAATTACTTCTTATAGCTATATTAAAAACTTTATATATAATATAAAGTCTTAAAATTCTTCTTCTTTTCTTATAGACTAGTACGTTTAGTATTAACGTCGTAATTTAATAAATATACTCTTTATATATAACTATAACGTCGCTATAACGCGTATATACTTTATATATATATATCTTATATATATAGTATTAACGTCGCTATTAAGTAAAAAGTAATAATATTAAGAATATTTAAAATATTTAGAATATTTATTAAGTATATTAAGAGATTTAGCGTATATATAGAATTTTTAATATTATTCTTCGTACTTTAATAAGAATACTCTTTTATAGAAGCTTAGATAGTCGAGAGATAATAACTTTAATAAAACTCGAAACTATTTCGCTTCGTTCTCGATTCGAATTTATTAATCTCTCTTATTAAAAAATCGTAAAATCGTAAAAATCGTAAAGTTAATAAAAAATTATAAAAATATAAAAATAATAATATTAGAAATTAAAATAAAAAGGCTATAATAGATATTAAAATTAACTTCTTATTAATTAAATTTAAATATATTTAGAGTTAATTAAATTTTTAAATATCTTTTATTAATATTACTTATTTTTTTTCTATTAAAATTTTACTATTATTTTTTTAAACTATAGAACTTATTCTACGCTTTCTAATAATTAAGAATTTTTAAAATTCGATCTTATAGTTCTAAATAAATCTTAAATTAAAATATCTTTACTCTTCGAAGTTCGAGAATCGAATTTAATCTCGAAATTAGATTTAAAAATAAATTACTTTCTATAAATTTAATTTATAGATCTAAACTTAATTATTAATATAATTAAAATATCTTATTAAAATAGAAGAAAATTATTTTAATAGATATCTCGAGATATATTTAATTATAAGCTATATGAAATAGCGATATATATTTATATTATTTATTAAATAGAGTATTTAGAAGTAATATTATCTAAATAAAATAATAGATTTTTTTAATAGAGAATACTAAGATATTTTATACGTAAGGCGTTAGTAAATAAAATAGTTTATTACGATCTAAATTTTTAGAGATCTATATAAATCGATACGATTAGCTAAAAGCTAAAAATGTTATCTTCGCTAGCGATCTAGAAGTAGCTATAAGTTAATAATAATAAATTAATTATTTACTACGCTTATTAGCTAAAATTTCTTAAAATAGTAGAAGATAGTTTCTTATAGCGTTTTCGTCTCCGTCTTACGTAATTCTAAGGCTTTTTATATCTTAATACTATAAGAGTTAAGCTTAAGACGTTTACGTAACTAAGATATTTCGAGACGAATTACTAATTTATATCTCGAAAGTATAAATTCTTATTAAATTATATTTCTAATTATTAAATTATATCTCTATATTAAATTTTATCTAAATATAAAATATAATTCGATAATTTATTATTACTTAAAGTATAATTTAATAAGAATTTATATTTACTATAGTAATTTATTTAAGTAATCTACTTATAGATATAGCTAGATATCTATTAGAAATTATTTTTTTAAGATCTTTACGAAGGCTTAAATAGAGATATTTATAGTATAAAGTATAGAATAATCTAAGTATTTAAGAGAGTCTTAAAAGTATCTTCGAGAAAGTAAACTATTAATAGCGATTCTTATGAAGACTCTATAAAGGCTTTACGATAGCTCTATAAAGATAAATATTTAGATTTAAATAAGAGTATTCTAGCTATTAAGCGTAGATACTATTATTAATAATTTATAATTCTAAGAATATTTACGCTTAATAGCTAGAATACTCTTATTTAAATCTAAATATTTATCTTTATAAAGCCTTTATAGAATCTTTATAGAGCTTTTATAAAAGTCGCTACTAATATAAATCTCGTAAATCTTAAAGTATAAAATATAATTTAGTCTTCGAGTAGTCGAAATTATCTTTACTCGACTTTTATCTAATATTTTTAAATTAATAGAATTCTTATTAAATATATTATATAATTAGAGAAAATCTTTTACTTCTATAATTAGATAGACTAGATCGCGAATTATCTTCTTTATAATTCGAGGCTACTTTAATAACTTACTAAATTATACTCTAAGTAATAATAAATTACGAAATTATATCTTATATTTAAGTATAATTTAATATAGAGATATAATTCGATAATTAGAGATATAATTCGATAAGAATTTATACTTTCGAAGTATAATTTGATAATTTACTCGAAAATGTATTAATTTACTCTAAAGAGTTTATAAGTGCAAGTCGATGATGTTACTTTTTCTTTAATTCGAGGATCTATATAAACCTCAAGTCTAGAATTTAGAGCAAAATTACATAGAAAAGTAGAGGAACGCCACGCGATAATAGGTTGAGACCTTTGTGGACAACCATTTGGCCCTAGCACTAGAATATCTTACCGTGAAGAGGTCTGCGTTATGCTGGGGTCTTGCGTCCCGAAGATATCCTAAAGGAAATGGAAGCTTCGAACAGTCTCTCAGAATCAAGGTCTCACGCAGATCCTGGAAAGGTGTGGTCACTATCAGATTATAGTTATAGGAGGGTCTTTTCATCAGCTGCACACCGAGACGTACCTTTTGTGGCGCTCAATAATTAATACCTTAGGTTGCTCCTGTTGATTCCTCTCGTCCTAGCGCTTACGAGCCTCAGCCCTAACATCAACATCACCTCTAACAGAGCTAGGCTTAGCCTACTACCTAGCTTCTGCCGACAAGGATTTCACCTCAGAACTTCTTCCACTCAGCCATTGCGCCGTCGAAGGAAAGAAGAATATCACACTTCGCGTCGTCTCATATTGTGAGGTCCTCTGAGTACACTATTTCTTAGGTCGTGCTTCCAGAGACGCCGTTCACGATATAGTCAGTATGTTAACCCTCGGAGAATTCCCGGCCTTGTGTACACCGCTTATTCATCTTGCAGAAGTCTCAACTCCACAGTCTGCGGCTGAGCTCATGCTCAAATGCTATTTGCTGAGACTAGGCGACCACGTCCAACATGCCCTTGTCAGATCGCTATCTTAACGACAATCCCAGCGCTGACACAACGTGCGCTGAGCCGCGGCTGAGCCTCTCCCACTACTTTGGCTGTGACCCTGCAATCTACTATGGCAGCGAGCCTCTTAAATGGAGTCAAGCTTTATCTTAGAGTCCAAGACCTGGTTTCTGCTTCACTTCGTTGCTGAAATACCCCAAGCGCGGGAGTATCTGTGTTTCTTCAGAGTTCCTCTTGCAGCTTTGGGATTGTTGTGTCTCGATCCAGCTCACGGCTTCCAAGGACTTGTGGTTACTCTATCAGAATGTCAGCAATCTCCTTCAGTGTTCTAACGGCAGTCTCGTGGGGTTTCACCGGTCTTGCCATTGTGCTTACGGCAGGCCGGTTCTGGGTCCGGTGCAAGATTATCAGAAGCCTCTCCTGGGACGATGCAGCGCATCTGCTAGGACTTTTGCTCCTGGTCGCGCAAATCTCGATTGTTTCTGGGGGGGCCTCAATTATATATCAAATCGCAAGTTTTGAAGCAGGAGACGATGGCCGCTACGAAGCAGAACACTTGCTTTTCGTCCGTCTTGACGTTGCTGGTATTCTAGTCTCGTGGTGTTGCCTCTATGCCGTCAAGATGTCCTTTTTACTGCTCTACCACCGTATCTTCCAGGTTTCTGAGAGGTTTGTTCAAGCATGGTGGATTGTTCTTGGAATAGTCTTCCTTACCTTTTGGATTTTGGTTGCCAGCTCCCTCACTGAATGCGGTAGTCCATCAGCCCTAGGACATATTGGTACGTGCTACCTATTATTACGTCACTCACAATACCAACAGCGTTACTGACAATAGTAAGAGAGTTGCGATACCCCCTCAATGATACATCGACAGCAGGTCTTCGTCATCTATGGCTGCGCAGTGAACGTCTTCTCAGACCTGGCTAGTAAGTGCTCTGGCCCTAGAATACATTGTTAGCGTTTCAATGCTAAGTGTGTTATAGTCATGGCATTACCACTAGCAATGCTCAAAAGTCTCCAGATGCGCACGTCAGTAAAACTCGGCCTGGCTGGTGTCTTCTGCTGCGCCTTCGTCACAATTGCGTTTGACATTCTACGCGCCGTCGAGACGGACACGAAGGGCCGAATTGAAGGCTCTACCGCGCTTTGGACGAACCTCGAGTCAGCCGTTGCGGTTATTGTGTCCTGTCTTCCTAGCGTCGCTGCCTTATTCAGTCCAAAGAACGAACGCAATGGTGTCAGGAATCGCAGTCCTCATAGGCAACATTCACTGGTCATCTCGAACTCCGCGAAACACTGTGTGAGTGCTGGAAGCTCCGTCAAAGAGCGGATTTAATGGCCGTACGTCTGCCGCCGTAGAGTCAGAGAATTTTGCCGTCTGTTCCAGCAGTTCGATGCAAGAACCTGTTACTGATAATGCTCAGCGCAAATGAAGCCCTGTTGTCTAAAAAAGGGCTCTTTTGTATCCCACAACAGCTCAACTCCAGGTTGCTCAGCACTCGCCGTACGTGACAGGGCGCCCTAATTCTCCGGCCTGCCCGTCGGTACTTCACGCCTGATTGATAGCTTTCTTAACGCGCTGCAACAACCCAATTACGTGCTTTACTTGGGACTAGAAGTCGGACCGCCATAGTATGAGCAACGACCTACGGCGCAGGGTCTCACCATTGAACTATCAAGCCACTTTTCTTGGAGGACTGCTTGGAGGTTGCGAGCTTATTCCCTATAAGCTTTAGAGCTGCAAAGCTGATCAAAATCGCGACTCACCTGGGTAGATTAGGCTGGGTTATATAGGCGCGAATTTTGGGGTATCGGGTCGGCGATTTTGGTACTTTGCACCTTCTGAGGTTGGGGACTCTGAACGGGATAGGGTCCGGTCATCCGTGACAGCAGCTAGCAAGATGACTCCACTTCTTGATGCGAGAAGCGACGAATCCTCATTTGCTATCTACTAGTAGTGAACGCAAGTCGCAGAGAAAACGCGCCTTATGCGCGGTCCGAGTACGCGACTAGCACGGGTATGCTGAATGAGTTCAACTATTTCGCATTAAATCTCAACTCAAAGCACCTTACCTGAAGACTGGCATCTGCAGTCAGAATTCTGACTTACAATAACGACAGGAGCTCTGAAAAGTGTGACTTCAATGTGCTTTCCACTTCGCCCCGTCATCATGTCTCTCTTGCTCCTACTCCCGCCTCCTTTCAATGCATCTCCCACGGCTCCGAATGATCAAAATGTGCCAGTGATTTTCAACTCGACTACGAATGTTATCGTACCCCACTGCTACATTCCAGATGGCCAAGACACCCCCGGAATTCGTCCGACCAATCTGAAAGGGTGCCAAGATGCCCTCGCAGTCCTTGTCCGCACACCAGACTTCACAACACGCTTTCGCTTCAGCAAGAATCCCAGAGCAATGGCCAAAGAGGTCCCGGTGGGCTGGCAGCTGAGCCATGAGTCGGAATGCAGAATTGTGGTCAACTGCGAAAACGATCGCGACACGGCTGTGTTTAGATTTGCTGATGTTGCACGAATTGCGAAATTGATTATGGATAACTGTGTCGGTAAACCAGATCCTTCTGGGAGATACCCGCTACTGGAATGGGGTGGCGTCCATGGAATTGCGGAGGAGGAGACATTCTATGTGGCTGTTGGAAGGCCTCAGTCTTCACTGGAATTCAAGGTGTCGAATCAGACGGTGGTCACCAGTGGGGGACTGGTTGACGGAGGCGTTGAGTCCGCGTGATAGATATCTCATACGAGCTGATGAAATCACGGCTACTGCAACGGTTCCTGATCTCTTGTACGAAAAGGGTAGATGTAGAATTTTTTATACGAAGATCTAAAATGCATTGAGACGGTGGAATCCCAGATGCTAGATGGGACAGACTTTACACATTAGCACGCAGGCAATGGAATGTGTTCTGTGCGGGAAAGAGGCGTGATGGTCTACAATTTGACCATGACGAAAGACTACCAACAGTCACAAGAAGTATAAGACTCGCACTCAGGACAAATTTCATCTACGCAAAGATACCCTGCTTCCATCTCACCAACGCTGAAACTTCTACCCTACCCAGGTGTTATTCGCAACCAAGCCGTTGAAATCTCGCCGATTGCGCATGGACCCTCCACATTCGCACTCCCACGCCATTGGGCCATTAGCAGGGCCATCAAGTATGCAAGTACCCCCCGGGCCACAGCCATTACAACAACCCGTTGCATAAGCAACTTTGTCGGTACCGGTAGCTCCACTGAAGCAGGTTGATGGGGTGGTGGTGCAGACATGGTTCCAGACCTGGGGTGAAAAATTCTCTGTCAGCATGTTGTTCGCATGAAACAAAAACCGCATATCACTGCATCTGAAAGTTGTTCTGGACTTGCAATAGAGAGAGAGAACACTTACAATTGGTGAAGAAGGTGGAGTGGTAGTGGGAGTAGGAGTAGGGCCAGCGCTAGTGCTTGGCGGAGGAGGAGGTGTCTGTGCATAAGAAGTATGTTGTTAGCCTATTGCTTGGTTTGGAGACACAGATACCGAAGGCACTTATCGTGATCATTGAAAACGAAGACTTACAGACGTGGATGAAGGTATCGTTGAGGAAGGTGGCGAGGCAGGACCCGTACCAATGCAGTACTGATTACCTGCGATCAGGTTGTCACAGCTTGGAGAGATATTCGGGTTCATTAATAGGAATTCGTCCATGGTAATTTCGTTGTCTGATGCTACGCTCTCGCAGCTAGCACCGGCGGCCACTGTAATCCAATGGTCAAATGGTCCACATGCTCCAAGGACAACCTGATCTCTAGCCACTAGGGTAGCTACGGCTGGAGGCGGGGTGATTGCGGCCTGGTCGTTCCTAAACCCTTGAACCTCGGATGTGATTGAAAGGGCGAAGAATATGTATGTTTGAAAAATGGTACTCATTCCTGATGAGCTACGCATGATGTCGGTGGTTCCCGTAAGGTTAGTGAGAAGTAGAGGCGAGAAGTAGAAATAATTGCACAAGGAAGGCCAGCTTAAATGAATGAGTGGTATGGAATCGAATGTGAGTTTCTGGCAGATCAGTAGGAGAGAGAATGCATCAATTTATGGACTGAACGACGTATCCTAACCAGTTCTTTGAGCCTTGGTCAGGCTCATGTTTTCTTTCTTCAGCAGCAAAGAAGAAGGCAGTGATTCAATCTGGAGCCACATGCCTGTGCCTTTCCCATTGCACGTTGGTCTAACCATAAAAGGCTACGCCTTTGTTGTTGCTTGATATTGTTGCTTAGTATTGTTGTTAATTTGAAAGAGCTCGGATCGGACACTTTGGCTTCGCGAGCGCGATCGGGATCAGAAGCACAAAGAAAGGCGACACGGTTACAACCAAAGCCACTTTGCGACGATACTCGGTAACTCTGGCTGTCCTGTTGTCCAAGCTGGGACGTCTGTCTCTTGTCGCGACCTTTGTTTGGTAATGAAAGCTCGCGATAAGTGGTTATTACTATGAAGTCCTATCATCGTGCTTCGGGCAATGATTGAGGAGTAGCCATCAGCACCTGAGCATTTTCATCCTCCACCTTCACGGCCCAAACTAGCCCTGATCAGATGGTCATCATACTCATCCAGAACTACAACAACAGCTTCCATGCCACCATCTATGTACACAGCTCCCATAAGCGCTTTGATAGTGAGCCGAAGAATGGCGGTAGCTTCATTTTGGTCACCTCCGTAACCGCTTCTTTCGATCATGTCCAACCATCCTATTTTCCTCCCACACACAGACACGCTGTCTTCCAGCCACATGGTGTTATGGGTTTCGTTCGATACTTGTATGACGTCAGTGATTTTGTGATGTCATATAGCTTGAGTAGTATATACCACGAGAATTAGCTAGACCGGTGTAGTTGTACTCGACAGCGGCACGTGCAAGGCTGATAGCGTTGCTACCGACCACTTGTAAACCCGTGTTGTCATCAGAGCCATGCCATCCCACAATCGATCTGGGGAATTGGAGCGCCTCCAATAGAAGCACAGGGTTCTTGAATGTACGGGAAATGCAGCTCTCAATTGTAAGTAATTCAGTCTGGGTTTTACCGTCTATGCCATGAAATCGATCAGAAGCCATCGTCTATCAAAAGAACTTTGATTTTCGAGAGAACAGAGGTCCCAAAGTCTGAGGACCTGTGGTACTCTTCTTCAAATAATGACAGCCGCTGTAGAAGGAGATAGACTTCGCAATGCTGAAGATATTAGAAAAGGGGAGAGTGATGATGTTCTTTGACTGGTTTATCGACGAAAACTAGACGGTCGTTTAGCAAACAAACGTTCGTAAGCTTGATACACCATGCGAGATCTCTTCCGATAAGTGATTACAGCAGTAGCCTGATGAAAATCAAAGTAGGATCTAAACAACCCAATACAACCAACCCCACACAAATTACCCAAATAGGGGTAATGGTAATCTATGGGGTAGATTGAAAAAATACCATAGAGAGGGTTTAATAAGGTAAGATAGCTCCATATAAATAACTAAGTCATCTAAAATAAACTATTTTTTGAGAAGCGGTAGACTTATCGTCGACTATTATTGATAAGGTGGTATTACGCTGCGAACGGGCGGGTTTCGAGGCCGGGTCGGGGCGGGGTTTGACCTCGAAGCTACACCCCGTTGCGCAGCGTAGTAGATTATTCCTTCGGGGACCCACGGGGCCCTACGGGGCCTACGGGACCCGAATAGGGGTGTCTAAGCGTGAAGTGCGGATACCCGGGCTGAAATTGCCCACTCGGCTTTCGTCTGATGTTTTTAAGCTGATAGAATTCTCATCAAATGCGGTCGGAGAAACTCCTTATTTTATGATCGAATAAGCCAGATCGCGGATTATCTCCTTCGTAGTTTGAGGCCACTTAACAACTTACCAAATCATACCCCAAGCAATGGCAAATTACCGAATCATACCCCATATTTGGGTGTGATTGGTGTAGGGTATGATTCGGTCGTGGTTGCCCGTAGCCTGATACATAGCAAGCAAGCCAGATCGGAACCAGTCACCTAGGCAGCTGCATTAAGTCCGGCTGTCACGGTTCCGAAATACATAGCGGAATAGGCGCAAGCTGTATAGAGCTTGTATTCGGCCTCTTGAACTATGCCATCGGGACTGGCCACGGAAACCTACCCGCCAAGGCCCAACGGTGACACTAGCGTCAATGCTTAGGGCGTGATGTCTGGCTCCGTAGCGTTGCGTATTGTTGAGGTGGGAGGACATCGATATTTTTTCACGACCCCTATTAAGCAGGAACTTTTGTTTGTGACACCTGAGAGGACGAGAGAGAGGTCTACGAGGGTATGCCGGTACATTAAGAGACAGATAGTGAAGGGGATACATCCTGGAACGTCTTCTAGGCGCAAATATAAAGCGCAATATAAAGACGGCCTGTCACCTCGAAGGTGGTGTCTCTTGTAGTCGGGACCCTTAAATTGAAACAAGAGTACTCGACTCAGGCGTCTAACCTCTCAATGAAAGTTTCTGAGGACTTAGGATAATTGGGAGATCTCATATTCATGTACTGGTAAGAGGCATTCAGAATTTACAGAGCACCATGTAGGATTAGGATTAGGTTAATGGATGATCTACCACTATTATTCTGAAGATGGTGATTGCGTTGCGTTGAGCCGTTGCGCCCCGAAAACATCTCGCTTGGCCCCTACTGCCACAGGGAACTGAGTTGCACCCTACAGAGACTCAGTGAGCACGAGTCTGCTTCAGTACATTGCATCGGCTAGTATGGCAGAGGAATTCCAACATGCTTCTTCGTATGCGTGCTCATAATCTCTAGTAGGCTACGAGATGTAAGTTGAAAAATACATGAGTTAGGGTTGACCTTGCCTGTACCGTTCAGTCAGGTCGTGCCATGAAGTTCTCAGCTTGGGCTCTTCTGCCGCAGGGGTAAGAAAAAGTCCATGGATAGAGCACATGCTTTCCTGGCGCACATTTGACATTGAACATTATCTTATATAACCTAGACTAACAGATTAAAGACCCGATTTACGTGGAACATCCCGCCGCCGTCAACGCCGCTTCAGCAGCAGTTTGATATCCGGCCAAAAACGCGGGAATCGAAATCTTCTGTTTTGTGAGAGATGCGATCTCTTTCTCGATACTTTTATACTTTGCTCTTAGGTTGGCGCAGGTCTTGGCGGAAGCTTTCGCTGTAGAAGAAGTATGTTGTGGGGAAGGAGCCGTGGTCTGCTTTGCTTTTGCTGTAGTCTTGAAAAGCGTAGTCTTATGGGGTGTGGTGGTAGGCTTGGTAGAGGTTTTTTTCGTTTTGGTGGTCTGTAACGTGTTTTTCTTGCTGGATGTTGGAGTAGTGGTTTTCTTCATGTTAGTTGTTGTTGGATTAGACGTGTGCTCGACCGCGCTAGGGTTCGAAGTGTTGGAATTGGTGGAGGCTGAAGGGTTGGCAAAGGTCTTAGTAGTGGTAGACTTAGTCGAGCTGGATGGAGGGAACTTGCAGAAAGATGAGGCGGATGACGCGGCAACCAATACCTGCGTTTTAGCTGTTGTTGCCTGGGTGGTGCTTTTTGCAGCGCTGGGACTCGAGCTAGTAGGTACCAGGGAGCTCGAGACTGTGGTGACGGTGTTCGCACTGGATGAGACCGAGGTCATGGAAGCCGAGGCGGAGATAGCGGGAGCCAAAGAAGAAATTGTGAGAGATGAGGCGAATGCTACGACCGCGCTAGTGCTGGTTGGGGAGGATTTCGCTACTAATAAGGGGTGCAGAGTAAGCAAGAACGATCTTGTACCTCAAAGACCTAGAAACTTACCGTAACTGCTCTTTGATGCTATTATTGATGCAAGGAAGGACGATGCTGTAGAAGAGGAAAGGCTGCTTCCAGATGGGCTGGAAAATCCAATCGAAGAAGCTCCGGAAGTGCTTGACGCAGCGCTGGAAGAGAAAACACTGGAAGTAAAGCTAGAACTCGACTGTGCCAGAGCGGGGCTAGCTATAGCAGCAAAGAAAACGACGATGGCAAAGATACTCATGACTGCGAAGGCAAATGTAAGTGACGCCTTAGCGTTGCGGGCGTTCTAAAATGTAGGATAATCTGTAGGATAAGACGTCCTCTATATAATTTTGTCATCTGCGATCGAAGCCGTTGCTTTGACAGGGCGTTCTCAATTAAACATTTGATGTGTCACAAATGTAGCCATGGCGAGTTTTTATGCTGTAGGCTTTCTCTTGAACGACTAAGATGGCAGACACTAATTGCTAGGCGGAGAGCACGGGTGGAGAACGTGAGTCTCTGGAGGTCCTCAAAGTGGCATGTTGCGCCGATAAAGGTCTGAGCCCAGAAGATCCAGATCTGGACAGTTTAAAAGAAGGAGTGACGAACCTTCCATGCTGTTGTCAATAACAGCTATTGCGAACAAGTAGAGTAGATAGGCATGCTGAACTCCCAGGATATCATCCGGGCGCGTGAATTCTACCTTGTGATAGCCAGAACTAGTCAAGCGGAGATGGGTAGCTGTTGGCATACAGAAACGCCATTTGCAAAGAGAATGGAACCTTTTGTTGCCGTTTGCTTAAGCACCCATGGCGGACAAGACCAAAGGGACTCTCAACGATTGCCCAACTGTGATTACGACAGCCTTCCACCAGGGTACGCCTCCCGCCATTCGTGGCGTTGTCGTCGCAAAGCCACTTAGCCATGGCCAGCAAAGTGAAGATTTTGAACATCGAGCAAGATGGGTGGAACGAATGGCGTCCCAACTAATGCCAATCTAAGTTATCAATATCCACTGCCCTAGATTGATTTTTTTGTGATATCGCCTGAATAATCTTTGTTCTGGAGTTGCTACGCTAGGCCTAAAAGAGTTAATCTGATAATGATGAGAACTACCTACTTTATCCAGCGATTGACTTGATACTTGTTTTTGATGCGGTCTGACGCCATCGAGGCGAGCAGTAGTCATACATGTCAATGCCTGCTGGGCAAGGAGTACCTAAACCAAAAAAAGTATGTTCTTCCTCTGAAAAAGGGACGACAACCCAACCTGACTTGACTGGTACGGTTGTCCTCGGTCAGAGAGAACGCCCATCGGCTGTGTATACATAGGAGCACTAGGAGATCACTTATCTCAAATGTCTCCCTCGACCCCTACAGATACCAAAAGGTTTGTTCTTGACTTTTTTCATTGCAAGACTTTTCGGGTAGTATGGCCCTTCATTCACTCGCCATTGAGACTGTTACCCATATTTCTCGATCATTTAAAGTATTTAGAAGTTAGTATCTTCTCGTTAGTCTAATCATTCGAGTCTTTTCGAGAAGAATATCTTCGAGCAATTTATTCGTTATGATCCCTCCATAGAGCTAATTACTAATTTATACCTCGAAACTATAAATTCTTATCGAATTATATCTCTAATTACTTAGAGTATAATTTAATAATTTATTATTTATAATAAAAATCGTAAAGGAGAAAATTCGCGATCTAGGTTATTCGATTATAAAAAAGAAAATATCTTTAATCGTATTTAATAGATAATCTATTAGCTTAAATATATTAGATGAAAGTCGAGTAAGTATTAATAATAGCCTTTACGAAGGCTCTACGACGATCTTTATTTAGATTTAATTAGAGGTATCTAACTATCGAGCGTAAATATCTTCGAAATTAGACTTTTTAGCTAAGTTACTAATGCTATAATAGCTAGATATCTCTATTTAAATCGAAATAAGATCTTCGTAAGAGCTATTACTAATATTAAATTAAATTTAACTTCTTAATCTATATCTATAATATATAAGTAAACTATTTAAATAGATTACTATAGTAAGTTTAATAAATTATCGAATTATATTTTAATTTTTAATATAAAAGTATAATTTAATTACTAGTCGAAAAGATATAATATAATATAGAATATTAATCTATTATACTATACTCTAATATAATATAAGTTATTAAGATTTATATAATTTCATATCTAATATAATATGAAATCTTAATAAGATATACTACGATATAATATATCTATAATATTATACTATAAAAGAGTAAATTATAAATTTATATCTTAAACTATATAATTCTTATAAATTTATACTCTATCTTATATTTTTATATCTCTTATTAAAAAAATAGAATATAAATTTATAAGTTATTACTACTTAGAATATAAAAATATAAGTTATTATTTCTTAAAGTATAAAAATATAAGATGCCATTAACTTATAGATATAGTCGTTTCTATATTTTAAAAGTATAAAATATAGTTATAATATATATGTATAAGAGCTCTATTAGTTACTTAATATATATAAGAGCTTTATTAGTTATTAAGATAGAGTATAAATAGACTAAGAGATTAAATTTCTATTTATAAGTTAAATAGTTAAATAGTATTCGATAAAGTATAAAAGTTTTTAGACTTTATAGTCTAGTGAAAAATATAGTTATTAGTTTATAAAAAAGCTCGATACTATCGAAGTAATATATATTTCTTCTTATAGTATATATGTTATTAAGTATCGTAGAAAAACGATCTCGAAGAAATTAGCTTACGTAATTTAAAAAATCATTTATTAGAATATATTACTTAATGATATAATTCTTCTTTTCGAGGCCTATATTTTTTTTTATTTATAATTAAAATTAAACTATAAATCTTAAAGAGTAGTAGCTCGATATTAAGCTAGATTAGAGTTTAAAATATCGCTATAATAATATAAGTAAGTAAGTAAGTAAGTATTATAAGTATTATAAATAAGTAAGGTAAGTAAGTAAGTAAGTAAGTAAATATTATAAGTAAGTAAGTAAGTAGATACTATAAGCGAGTAAGTAAATAAAGTAATTTTTTTATAAGAATCTAGTAGACTTATCTCTTAATTATTTAAAGCGCGATAAAGATTACGAATACTTTAAATATTACTCTTTCGAGTGCTCTTAAAATTCGCCACGAAGTTAGTTATAGAATTATAAAGTTATTTAATAATTTTATATTTTAGATATAAAGCGAAGAAAATATTCTTATATTAGTAATAATAACGATAATATTATACTTTCTAGATATACTATAACTCTCTTCGCGAGTATACTATTAAAGCGTTAAGGGGCTTCGTTTTAATAAAGATTAATTAAAAAATAAGAAAGTAATTACTAAAAAGGTATTTCGCTATAAAATAATTATTTTAGATTTAATATTTAAGAATATTATATTAAGAGATAGTAGTAAAATAATACGATTTAATTAATCGAAGTCTTTTAAATTACATTTAAGTCGTAGTTACTAAACTTAAAATTAATATTAAATAGATTTTAATAGTTTTCTTTATAAGATATTATATAGTCGATATTAATTAAAATTATTAATAATAATAGTAAGATCTACGTATAACGTATAATAACTTTAGGCGATTTCTATACGTATATTAATAAGGGAAGTATATCTAGTTAAATTTATATAAAGTAATCGTTAAATAATATAGACCTAAGGAATTTTTTTTAAATATTAAAAAATAAGGTCTTAGCGTATTTAAAGAACTTCGAATAATTTTAATTCGTTTAAAAATACAATATTCGAGGTTTTTCTAAACGCTTTATTAATTTAAATTAGCTAGCTATATATAAAATAATCTTAATTCTTCTTATTTCACTTTTTATCTTTTCGTCTATTTCTTCTTTCTTCTTTAATATATCTTTCGTCTAGTAATAATAAATCTTTCTCTTAAAATTATATTTTTATTATTAGAGGAGACTTAATTAGCTAGTACTTATAAGATCTCTCGAAAAATTATAATTATAAGAGTACTATAAAACGACTAAGAGTAAATATTAGATTATACGATATAGACTCTATAACGAATATAACTTTTGAATTAAATTTCTTTATAAAAAGATCGATGCTTAAAAGCTTATTATTAACGACTTATATATCTATTTTAATATTTACTTATAAGAATTAAAAATATAAGCGTTCTATAAAGCTAATTATCTTAAATCTAAGAATTATAGCGATTATTATAATAAACTCAACTATAATAACTAAGTATATTAGAATTAATAAAAGAGTAAATTACGAAGTTAGTCTTTTTTATATATAAGCTTATTAGAGCTAAAGCGAGTATTTAATAAATACTTTATAATAATAAGACGTAATCTTTTTAGAAGATATTTACTTTATTCGTAAAGATAAGAGATAATATAGCTAATAGTTAACGTATAGTATAAATAAAATTAAATATTAATATAAGAAGATCGGTTTATTCGATATAAAGTATTTCTAATTACTACGATCTATGCTTCTAAATATATTCGTAATTTCTTTACTATAAACGAAGTATATTATATTATAAATTATCGAATAATATTATTTATTATTATTACTCTTAATAATAATAACGAGACTCTATTAATAATATAAATCTTAGTCTCTATCGAGTTTAAGAAGAATTAGACTTAGTTTTTAAGAATATATTATTCTTGTCTATCGAGCGTAGATGAGAATAACTTTATTATTATAAGTAATCGAGTTAAGAATTTAATTCCAACTATTTATAAGAACTTTTTATATATAAAATACGCTTTTTATATCTTTTATCTTAAGAGAAATATAAAAAAGAGGTTTAATAAGAAGTGTGTAAAGCTCTTTTAGAGGTATGCTTATATAAAGAATAAGACTTTCTTTAAAGACTCGATTCTAAAGATTCGAGAGATAAATAACGAATATAGCAATTATATTTATAAGATTTCTTTAAAATAATATAATATCTACGCCTTTAATCGTTCTTATTATAATTAACTTATCTCTAATATTTATAAGAGTTAGAATATATATTAACTAGATATAAGAGATTATCTAATAGTCTATCTTATAATTAATATCTAAAATACTATAATAATAAAGATATTTATTTAATAGCGTAAAGAGTTTAAAGGAAAGCGAGCTTATTAACTATATATAAAAATACCTCGATAATATATAATTAAGTGACTAAATATATAAGACGATATCGTTTAATTAATATCGTATAATAGTTTAG